GACGAATCGGAAGGTAAACGTCGTCGTCAGAGTAAGTAATTTTTTTACTACCTGCATTTTTACATATTTGTTTATTGTCATGTCTAAACAGTATGCTGCGGTTCATTAGTGCTTGTTGCATTTTTTGGGACGACCTACAATACAACTAACAACAAGAGAACCACAACTGCGCACTTAGCATCTCCCGACCTCTCTTGTGAACACCATTACCACTACTTAATTCTAGCATTAACCCGGCCAGTCTCCTGCAAATCGAGGAGACCTGGTGAAACAGGGTCTGATTTCCTGACGTACTGATTTCAGTTCCGCACCACATTGTCCACTATTCCTCAGTTGAGCCATAAGCCTGCTTGGCCTCATTTGGCGCCGCCACAAAATCCTGAGCAAATCAATACAGCTCTGCTCAGATCACCACGCAGTCTCTCCATCAACCAATAATTATGCATGCAAATCCTAGTCAAATTTAGGTTGTGACCAGGAGGTGTATGATGAGTGTTCGACCATCGGTTTCGATGGTATCCAACGTACCCTCCCCTCCCACCGCCAGCATCAGGCTACCGTCGAAGCCAGTCAGTTGTCTGCGTACTGCTAACCTGTTGTGAAGCGTGAAGGCGGAAGTAGAAGCAATACGTCAGGTCATCAGACCCTGTTTCATCAGGCCTCCTGTCGCTGAATTTGCTGGAGACTGGCCAGGCTAATGCTAGAATTGAGGTCGTTGTAGTAGTGTTGACAAGATCTTAGCCAGTGTTCTAGGACCTCACCCACCAGATATCTCTGGACCGTATCTTATTCCTAAAGTGTACTTTTCGGTGATATCCAGCGTCATCTGCATTTGTGTCGCAATATTAGTCCGAAACAGCGACCCGTATGAAGCAGGCCTCACATGTTGGCGACCCTTGTGAACTTTAACAAATTATTCGCTAAGTTAGTGGTAAGTCCTCAACAATATGTTCGCGATTTGAATGACGGCTTCATTGCTGAGAACTCGGCCGAGGTCGATCGTGGACGCGAATACTGCGAGCAATTACTGAGCAACCCATCAGAGTTTCCATCTCTTCTGCAGCGGTGTTTTAATCCTCTCCAGTCTATGCAGTGTCGTGTGACATCCTTTCCGAAGAAGAACTTGTCGATGTTGCGCAACAACTAGGCGTCCGGAGAGGACGGTATTCCCGCTGTAATCTACAAGTCTTGTGATCTCACTCTGGTACTTTCGCTCTATGAAGTGACTGAACAAATGTCAAGAGTTGAGACCGTTTCTGCTGACTGGGGCCCAGACACCCTTATAGCTGTTTACAAGAAGGGAGATAAGACAAGATGTGAGAACTATCGCGACATAAGTCTTATCAACGTTGCTATTGTTCTTGTCGGGCGATTACATTCTGTGCATGACTCTAAGACGCCGATCAACCAAGCAGGACTCCCCGCTGGGCCACACTGCGGATCAAATATTCATTTTGGAATGGGTCTTTGCATTTCGCCAGAGCTACCCATAACTGACGGCCGTCCGCCATCTGCTGCGTTCGACTCCGCCCACAGTGTATCCCTATGGCGGACAATGACACTAGATGGTGCACCACCAATAGTCATTGCCATGATTAGGGGATATTACCATTCCACCACTGCGCGGGTTCTGGTCTGCAGCAACCTCTCAGAACCATTTGCTTTTCGGTCTGGCTTTCATTGAGTGGAATCTTTCGAAGGCCCTACGTAAAGAGGACAGTGTTGAGTTTGAACTCGGACGCTGGCTGACTGATTTAGACTACGAAGATGCTATCGCTTTACTAACTTTCAGCGTTGGCGATCTACAGTCTTTACAAAGCACCTTACGACGGAATCTGAACCGGTCCCGTCGTTTCAGCC